TTCAGCCGCTTAGTGGCTAAGTGGAAGTTAATATTAATGTAAATGTAAATGTAAAAGTAAATGGAAGCGCGATAAAGTTGGCTCTCTGCTTTTCTCATTCGAAGCTTCTGTTTGTTGCTTTTTCAATGCGCTTTTGCTGCTTTTAGTTGAGCATAGTTAGATGTCACTAAACAATTTCCGGCTTGAGGTTCAAAAGTGGCACGATTCTGAATAAATCCATCAGTGACTTCCTCCTTCATTATTTCGAATCAGTTCCCAAAGTCAGTGAGTTGTTCACATTTGATCTTATCCTTAGTTCTAGAGGGCCCAAAGGAGTGCTCTCTAGGATTGAAGCCAAGATACCAAGTGGTGTCCCCCACCTCCAAACTGTAATTTCACATTCTTTTGACTACATCGTAGTCGAGCGGAAGTCCGACTGCTGTCCTCTTAATGACTCATAAATGTTCCGTTTCAGTTATTACCGGACCCATGACTAGCCCATTGTGCACATGTATCAATTAACACACAAATAATGAAATCTTTTTGCAATGGCGGCAGCAGCTGGCTCCACAACCCACAGCCGAATTTCCCCGTACGCTCCCTCTCTGGTTTACGCTGAACCGCCATGCTAATAAAGGCGAATTGAATCCAGAAATGCTGCCCTTTATGTTATGGTTACAGAATAGGGCTGCCACTAACCCAATCGTAGGGCAATTTAATTGCCACTTTCAATCAGCTGCGGGTGTCAGACACGCAAATATTCCCAATGCGTGAAAAAAGCAGGACTACGTCCGATATGTCACTAATAAATAGAATAACTAAAATGTCACTTGGCAATAATTGATGAAGTTGCCTACGTCAATTTCCGGTCTCCGCACTTCTTAGCAAACCATTGTGTGATTGTCAATATTCACTGGGTGTAGACGCCATGATTTCGTGCCCCCAGAAGTACCTTGTTGTAGGTTTGTTCCTTATTTTACCAGATTTTCAAGAGGTATTTCAGGTCCTGAACTGGGGAGGGCGCCTCCACTGAATCATCCTTCCAACAAATTGGTTTGGCAAATAATCTTCTTTACGCAATCCGCTTTGCTCCACTGTGCAATGGAACAGCTTTAGTAATATGGCCTCCAATCCGATTTTGACCGATTTCTGTTTTTTTTGCATGTTCCTCATGGCGTAAACAGGCATGATCCAACCAGCTGGGCCCCTTTGTGATGAATGGCATCGCCATTTATAATACTCGGACAATCAGCTGTTTTGGTTCTCGAATTGCTGAACCATTTCCTTGATTATGAAAAATCAGTATTGGCACTTGATAGAGGTGATGTCGAATTCTGTAGTGTTGTTCCGGCTAAATACTAACGTTTCGGCCATCATTAAGGTGGGCCTCAACCATCCAGTCGCTAAAAACACCAGACGTAGGGGCAATGGAGATTAACGAGACGACGGTCGGATTTACAATCGATGGTAAATTTCGTACGCATGCGTCCCTTAAGGGGTGCCATTGGTGCGGGGGAAAAAGTGGAATTGAATAGGTAAAAGGTCTAGTGAGTGGTCGTTTGTGACATGTTTCATTACTCCGATTAGTTAATATTTTGCAGGGTTGGTTCTGCCTACGGCGCTTGAGGAGTATTGCGAAGAAGGAGTTAGTCCATTCATGGCAGCCCTTGTTAGGCGCATAAGTCAGGGTCTTGGGATAGTTTGACACCTTGCAGAGAATGTTGGCTTCCTATGAGAGCTCAGCCTCTGCTTGGAGCTGCAGAAGTGGTATACTGGCGGTTTCGCGGACTGGGACGCTGCCCTGGGCTCCGAGTCGCGGTAACAAGCGTACGAATACTGCTCTGCATTTCAGACCCCTTTTGGTTTTTCTTTGTTTTTTTGTTTTTTTTGTTTGGTCGTGCATGCGCTACTCAGCCGGCGTCGGCGGAGATTGATTGTGAACAATCTTCCTGATTAACTGAAATTGGTGCTTCAATCGGTTTTCGTACAAACTACTAAAAACTGAACGTAAAACGGGCTGTTTTCATTGTACGAAAGAGAAAGAAGAAGGGAGGCGGCTCGACGGAGCTGCGATTTTTCGCTGCCATTTTCGCTGCCATTGCTTACTGATTTTCCGGACTGTCCACCCTTTCCTATGCGGCATGAAATCACAAATTAAGAGTACCTGATTCAGTAGTGACCTTCTCAACAGTTCGGAGCCCATTTGACTACTAAAAGTATCAGCTAATTTCTATATTTTCTATTTTCTTCTGTTCGATACCCAATGACCACCCTCGCCACCTTCGAGGCTCTCGCCATCCCTCCAAAAGCTTTCCGAACTATCGCTGCACAGCTCATTTTTCGTGAATGCGGGTCCAAGAAAGGTTTATATCATGAGCTGCTCCCGATTCTTCCTGCCTTTATTTGAGTTAGAAGAAGAAAAGTCCGAATACCCTTGTTGGGCATGTTGTACTCAAGGCTTGGAAAAATTGGAACAGACTACACTTGGGCAATGCTGACACTACATTTGAATAGAGCAAAAGTGGCGCTTCCTTCGGGAGGGGGGGGAGTGGTGGCGCTCATAATATCTAATCAAAGTGACAATATCCAGTCAAAGTGGAGCTGTGGAAGGGCCCTCATTTCTAAACATTCAGAAGAGGCTCCGACTGACCGATCAAATAAGGATACCAGCCCGGGATTACGATCAAAATCGGATTTTCGGAGGCTTTTTCTCCAACAGTTAGTATGACGATCGCGAGAGATTCAGTGAAAGTAAGGAGTCATCAAGGTAATAGCCATTTTCGCTCGACAAGGGTGACAGGTGGACGTAAAGGACGTAGGTTACCATCTCAGTGAGTGTGATAGTTATATTTGATAAGATATGAGTGCCTTACCCGCAGCTCTACTTCGATTAGATATGAGTAGCTCCCCAAACTACATTTTCACCCTCTTACCTCTAACATTTGGGGGTCTCGCATTCCAGTGGACCATGAAATGTGTAAAGTTATAATTCTGGAGGGAATGGCGAGGTTGCGTCTGCTGTTTCACAGAACTCATTTGCGTGCTTCAGTAAAAAAAATGTAACTAAGCCCTGTGCTCAGACAAGCAGGCTCTTCCAGGCAGGAGAACTGAAGGATTAACAGTCTGTAATTTGTTCTCAAGTCTTTAATGCTAGCTGACCAGGAAGGTCGTTCAGGGCGTGTCGACCTTTTTCAAAACGGTTGATATAGGGACACATGCAAGAACCACAAATCTGTGGTTCATTTTTCCTGAATGGCTCTCTGGATACCAAAAAAGGAGCGAAGTAAAATTACCG